TGGTTGATTTCAAGCTTCATAGCATTGTGGTCTGAAAGTATGCATGGTATGATTTCAATTCTTTTATACTTATGAAAGGCTGTTTTGCGACCCAGTATGTGATCTATCTTGGAGAATGTCCCATGTGCACTCGAGAAGAAAGTATATTCTGTTGCTTTGGGATGCAGAGTTCTAAATATATCTGTCCAGTCCATATGATCCAATGTGTCATTCAGGGCCCTTGTTTCTTTATTGACCGTGTGTCTAGATAATCTATCCATTATTGTAAGTGGAGTGTTAAAGTCCCCTGCAATTACCACATTCTTATCAATAAGGTTGCTTGTGTTTATGAGTAATTGTTTTATATATTTGGGCGCTCCGGTATTCGGCGCATAGACATTTATAATTGTTAGCTCTTCCTGATGGATAGACCCTGTCACTATTATATAATGTCCTTCTTCATCTCTTGTTACAGCCTTTAATTTAAAGTCTAGTTTGTCTGATATAAGTATGGCTACTCCAGCTTTCTTTTGGCTTCCAGTAGCATGATAAATAGTTCTCCATCCCCTCACTCTCAACCTGAAGGTGTCCTCAGGTCTAAAATGAGTCTCTTGTAGACAGCAAATAGATGGGTCTTGTTTTCTTTTATCCATTCTGATACCCTATGTCTTTTGGTTGGCACATTTAGTCCATTTACATTCAGTATTATTATTGAAAGATACGGGTTTAGAGTCATTGTGATGTCTGTAAGTTTTATGCTTGTAGCGATGTCTCTGGTACTTTGTCTCACAGGATCCCCCTTAGGATCTCTTGTAGGGCTGGTTTAGTGGTGATGAATTCCTTCAGTTTTTGTTTGTTTGGGAAGACCTTTATCTCTCCTTCTATTCTAAATGACAGACTTGCTGGATAAAGGATTCTCGGCTGCATATTTTTTCTGTTCATCACATGGAAGATCTCCTGCCATTCCTTTCTGGCCTGCCAAGTTTCAGAAGAAAGATCAGTCACGAGTCTTATAGGTCTCCCTTTATATGTTAGGGCACTTTTATCCCTTGCTGCTTTCAGAATTTTCTCTTTGTCCTTGTATTTTGCCAGTTTCACTATGATATGTCGTGCAGAAGATCGATTCAAGTTACGTCTGAAGGGAGTTCTCTGTGCCTCTTGGATTTCAATGCCTTTTTCCTTCCCCAGATACTGGAAGTTCTCAGCTATGATTTCTTCAAGTACACCTTCAGCACCTTTCCCTCCCTCTCCCTCCTCTGGAATACCAATTATGCATAGATTATTTCTCTTTAGTGTATCTCTTAGTTCTCTAATTTTTCCCTCATACTCCTGGATTTTTTTCTCTTTTTCTCAGCTTCCTCTTTTTCCATAATTTTATGTTCTAGTTCACCTATTCGCTCCTCTGCCTCTTTAATCCGAGCTGTGGTCGTTTCCATTTTATTTTGCAGCTCATTTATAGCATTTTTTAGCTCCTCCTGACTATTCCTTAGTCCCTTGATCCCTGTAGCAATAGATTCTGTGCTGTCCTCTATACTGTTTTCAAGCCCAGTGATTAATTTTATGACTATTATTCTAAATTCACTTTCTGTTATATTGTTTAAATCCTTTTTGATCAGTTCATTAGCTGTTGTTATTTTCTGGAGATTCTTTTGAGGGGAATTCTTCCATTTGGTCATTTTGGATAGTCCCTGGAGTGGTGCGGGACTGCGGGGCACTTCCCCTGTGCTGTCTTGAATAACTTGCGTTGGTGGGTGGGCCGCAGTCAGTCCTGATGTCTGCCCCCTGCCCACTGCTGGGGCCACAGTCAGACTGGTGTGTACCTTCTCTTCTCCTCTCCTAGGGGCAGGATTCACTGTGGGGTGGCGTGGCCCGTCTGGGCTACTTGCACACTGCCAGGCTTGTGGTGCTGGGGATCTGGCGTACTAGCTGGGATGGGTAGGCAAGGTGCACGGTGGGGGGGGGGGGGGCAGGCTTAGCTCGCTTCTCCTTAGGTGATCCACTTCAGGACGGGCCCGGTGGCGGCGGGAGGGAGTCAGACCCGCCGCCGGAGGGGTGGCTCCACAGAAGCACAGCATTGGGTGTTTGCACGGTGCGAGCAAGTTCCCTGGCAGGAACTGGTTCCCTTTGGGATTTGGGCTGGGGGATAGGCGAGGGAGATGGCGCTGGCAAGCGCCTTTGTTCCCCGCCAAGCCGAGCTCTGTCGTCCGGGGCTCAACGACTCTCCCTCCCATCGTCTTCCAGCCTTCCCTCTCTCCGAGCAGAGCTGTTAACTTAGAACCTTCCAGATGTTAAGTCCCGCTTGCTGTCCAAACACACTCCGTCTGGCCCCACCGCTTTTGCCAGCCAGACTCAGGGGCTCTGCTTGGCTGGTGGGCCGCCCCTCCGCCCCAGCTCCCTCCCGCCAGTCTGTGGAACGCGCACCGCCTCTCCGCCCTTCCTAGTCTCTTCCATGGGCCTCTCGTCTGCGCTTGGCTCCGGAGACTCCGTTCTGCTAGTCTCCTGGCGGTTTTCTGGGTTATTTAGGCAGGTGTAGGTGGAATCTAAGTGACCAGCAGGACGTGGTGAGCCCAGCGTCCTCCTACGCCACCATCTTCCTTATTGGGTAGATTCTAAAAGTTAACATAGGTTATATGCTTAAAACAGCCTGGATGATAGTAAATTATGAATGCGTGTGTGTGTGCGTGTCTTGCTATTATTAATTTACTTGAAGTTCATCAAAGAGAGTGTAATAGGTCTTGTTTCTTTTTTGCATATGCTGTTTTCTATGCCTAGAATCACCCACTCCCCCTTTATCTGACTTACCCTCTCTCTTCTGAACTCCTGCTCTGATGCCAGCCTTTCAAGGGAACCCTCACTGTCTGCCCCTGCTCCAGGCTGGACGAGTTACCTGTCCTATGTGCTCCTATAGTACCTGGATCATAATATTCATTACACCAGATATGGGACCAAGGCATTTGTGGTTTTGAAGAATTTTAAGTGACCTAAAGGGCTATGATGTTTAGTAATTTGTAGTGGGGTTAATTATATATATCATAAGACTATTAGGATTAAATAAGGTACAGCATACGTTTGGGGATTCAGAAGCTCTCAGGATATATCCGTTCGCAAAGTCAAGTTTCTACCATATTTTAGTTTTCTATTTCTTTCTATTGTTTTTCATATTAAATTTGGGGTTCCTGAATGGACAGATCGTTTTATCTCTATCCCTAGTGCCTTATATGTTCAAGAAACTTAACTAATATTTGCTGAGTGAATGTGTAAAAGAATGAATTTTTATGTATCTCAAAACTGACTTGGCCTTTAAGCCCTAATTTTGAAGTGCTGAGCCATTTCCCCAGGGAAGAGCACACATGGCTAACTGCAAAATTTCAGAAGGTTTGAGTTACAAACCTTTGCCCTAGAAGATAGTTTCCTATTTATTCAGGAAAAAAGGAGAAGATAATACATTTTTTAATACTAACTACTCTAGAGATAGATGGCTAGTATAGTTAAAGGACTCATCTGAATTCAACATTTTAAACGGAATATACTAACCTCTTTTGTCTTTGCCCAGCAACTTCTTGGAGAAGATAAAATGATTCACACATTTTCAACAGAAGCAGATTTGGATCATAATTTAGTAAACGTGAGGAAAGTCAGTTATATGTATAGGTGTTGGAAGGATGATTTGGGCATAGAGAAATCTTCCCCACCCCTGCTCCCACCCAAGTAGTTAACAGATGCCTTCTGCACTGTCTACAATTCCTTTCGTCAGCTACTTTTACTGACCCATCTTCAGTGGTGTATCTGAGAGGGTTAATTCATTTAGGCACTAATGCCTGAAGGAAAGGCATAGCCAGCCAAGTTGGCTGATGACAATGGAGTGCTTAGGTCAGGACATGGAAGGGTGAATCCTAGCAGAGAACATTTATTTTGGGGACCGGCATGAGGGCTCGGTAAACAAACGTCATCTCCTTTAGGATAAAGGTAGGCTTTAAAACTGCATGAGGAAAGATAAGATCCTTTGATTAATAGCTCTTTCAAGACCCTTCTTAAATGTTCTTCTTAAAAGTCAGGCTTTGTGGTTCTCGGTGGCACAGAGCATATACCTGATATGACTGAGAGATGACTGTGGCTTAAATGTATAGGCATATTCTGAAGACCCAGAAGCTTTCCAGAGCATATCCCGATCAGTGATAATTAGATCCGGACCAAGATTGGGGTGGAGTGGAGAGCGGGGGGGAGGTTGGGGGAAGCCACATGCATGCCCCAACCCCCACCATCCTGAGAATCACTGTATATAAGAGGTGCAGCGTGTGGTAGTGAGGTATTCACACAAAGAATACGAAGACTAGGGAAAATGGTGGAGAACTGTGAGCTACATTAAGGTCCATTTGCTTCATTTACAGATAAGGAATCCGGCCCGAGGTATTACAGAATTGGCTTTTCTGCCACACCAGGCATCTCTCCAGACCTTATTTTATACCCCAAGACTTATACATTGCAAAATGCTTTTTGGCATACAAGGTCCTTTTTTTTTTTTTTTAAGTAACTAAGTCTTCTGATGGGTTTCGTGACAGACCTACTGTACTATGTACTATGAAAAAAGAAAAATAAATGGGAACAACGAAGAATAGGAGTAATTCTTAAAGTGATGCGGAAGTAGCTGGTATTCTGAACAAATACTGAGCAAACAGTACTGGAATGATTTAATGCAGTTTAGTAATACTGTCTGAAATAGTATCCATTTCATTAAGCCATGGGATTCAGAGTTGACTCTCCAGGCTGGTAATTTTTCTAGGAACCAGATGAAATCATTCAATGTAATTTGGGGAGACAGTACTGTATATTTTATAGAGAGCTTAGGAATTAATTCAGAAACTGCTCTTACAGTTCTGGCGTACTCCATGTATGAACAGTTCTTTCTAATCGCATCTTCCCTGGGTAGTTTATGTGGAGGTCAAGAGGTCACCCTGGGCTGTAGCTGGTTCAATATTTTTGTTACGTAAAACGACATTCAGTATTTGTGTTTTTCCTAATAGGGCTTGTGTTCACTTGAACGACTCATGCAGAATTGCTTCATCACGTGAAGGACCTCGCTGTTTGATTTCCCTCCTACTACTTTTCCTTTACATCACACACCGAGAAAGTCATGAGCAAAAATCGTCACTCTCTGAGGGTAGAAACTACCATGATTCAGAAAGACAAGAAGTAAGTTTCCTGTCATCACAAGATGACTCAGGTTAGTAGCTTTTGTTATTGCAATTCAAATAACATGAGGGTGTAGGGCACTATGCAAACCTAATTAGGCCCCGTGTCTCTACTTTTAAATTTATGATGATGTGATATAAAGGAAGCTGGAGTTTATTTTTGCACTAGGCAATAAAAACCAGTTTGAAAATAGTTGTACAGGGTAAGTTAAAATTGCAAGAATATATTTAGTATTTTTTTAGAGAGGAAAATGCTTTTCTCATAAAGAGCGTTATTAAATGATCATTTTTATCATAGAAAAGTTTGCTAGCTGTACTTGGAGGTAATATGTAGATGTTAAGTTTTAAGGATTGTGGATTAAAAGGTTAAAAAAAACAAACCACAAACACTCATGTATTTTTTTATAATCAAGTCTTTGAACTGTCCTGACCAACTTGTGTTGTTGTGTTAGAATTGCAGTTTGAGGGGAGCCTGGGTGGCTCAGTCGGTTAAACGGCCGACTTCGGCTCAGGTCATGATCTCGCGGTCCGTGAGTTCGAGCCCCGCATCGGGCTCTGTGCTGACAGCTCAGAGCCTGGAGCCTGTTTCAGATTCTGTGTCTCCCTCTCTCTGACCCTCCCACGTTCATGCTCTGTCTCTGTCTCAAAAATAAATAAATATTAAAAAAAAAAAAAAAGAATTGCAGTTTGAGTAGGTCTTTGAAATTTAAAGCAGCATTGTGTTCTCTTTTTTAATATTGTGTCTTCTGTGGGATTTAGAAATGAGAACAATTTAAATGCTTACGCTTGCTTTTAGTTACAAAAATGTGACTTCTGCATGCCTATGGTAGGTCTGTAAAACAAGGGTCTACCAGGACAGGAAATCCTGAAATACAAAACACAACTGGGAAAGCTCGGTCTTAGCCCTGTTTCCCCCCAGTGCCTGTTGCCCCCTGCAGGGCATTTATGATTTCTGATCAAAGACTCGAGCACCTGTTTGTCTGGAGTAAAGTATTGTTGTCTTGCAGAAGGAGCGAAGGAAAGAGCTTAATGATACATTGATTCTACAGTTAATATTGAGTGTCTGCTCTGTGCTGAGCATTATCCCAAGCACTCTGTGATATACACAAGAGGTCATGTTCTAGTTCCTGCCCTCCAAGAGCTTCTAATCTAGTTGGGCACATATACAAAGCTGAGAGTTCAAGATGGTATCAGGAGAAATGTCCTAAGAGTGACAGAGATAATAAATATGCAGAACACAGAAAGAGTGGGGGAGCTGGTTTATACCTATGGCTCTCCATGAAGTCTTTATGGAGGCGGAAGAAGCTTGCTAGACATTGAAGGCCAGGTAAGATTTTGGAAGGGGAAGGTGATAGAGCATTTCAGATGACAGAGAACAGTCTGTTGGCTTTAGCAAAGACCTGAACGAGGAGCTCTTTTAAGACCCACTCAGGGAAGGGCGAGTAGAGGTCTTTGGGTAGAATCCGAGAATTTGAGATATGGTAGCACCAAGATATAAGATCCGGGAACACAGACTGGGACCTGGTCATGGAGGGCTTTGAATGCCAGACTAAGGAGTGCAAGATTTTTCCTACAGAGAGCAGAGGCCCCTGAAAAGTTTTCAACAGGGAGGGGATATTATTAAATGGCCATTATTAGAAAATTATCCAGCAATGGCGGGAAACAGAGATTCTAAACTGCTTTTCTTGGGTTCATGGAGGGAAAACGACAAGCTGCAGCCATGAAGCCAGGAGTAACACATATGCTGGGTGGTCCCTGCAGCCACCTCTTACTACAAGAGCACAAAGTGTCGCCAGCAAGTTAATGAGGAGGAGGGGTGCAACTCCCAGTGTTATGGACACCTGAGATGAGGCGGGGGAAGGCAAGGGGGACAGAGAGACCGGAAAGTTGTAACAGCAACTCATATACTAGGTTGTGGCAGAACAAAACAGAAAGGCAGGAGACGGCAAAGATGGCGGGACTACTGCACCTGTGGTCTTCTCTTAGGCTAGCATGGTTCCCACAGGACGCTGCCATCCCAGTGTCCCCAGTGCCCCAGGGCTCCGACAAGGGTCTCTGCATCTGTTTGGGGCAAGTCCTGTCGGAACACCGGTGACCACGGTGCATCTCCTCCACTGTGGCACCCCGAGGTGCATGTTGTGGTCGCAAAGACACATTCAAGTCCGTAACGAAGTCCGTTGGCAGCAAACGTCAAAACAAACTCTCCCTCAGGCACGAAGGACGGATTTGTTGGGAGTGTACTGAGTAGCTGATAGAAGAAAGAGCTGCAAACCAAACCTCAGGAAAGGCAGCCCTTGGAAGCAACCCCGAGGATCTTTCCTTTAGGCTTGTGCCCTAAGTGATTGGGCTCCGACTACCTCTTATCAGTTTCCCAGGGGAGAGAGAATGACTGTCCTAGATCGCATCACATGTCCACCCCTGGTGTATGTGACCAGCGGACCCCAGCATCACTTGGAATCTGAGAGAGGGGCAGTTTCTCAAAGGAAGAAAGGATAAGCAGAAGTTTTTAAAAGTATTTAACCTCTAGGGGCGCCTGGGTACCTCAGTCAGTTGAGCATCTGACTTCGGCTCAGGTCACGATCTCGCGGTTCATGGGTTTGAGCCCTGTGTGCTGACAGCTCAGAGCCTGGAGCCTGCTTCAGATTCTGTGTCTCCCTCTCTCTCTGCCCCTCCCCTGCTACTACTCTGTCTCTCAAAAATAAATGAAACATTAAAAAAAAAGTATTTAACCTTCTAAAAGTTCTGGGATTTCAAATAATGGTCATAAGTTCATGGCTTCAGGCTTGGGGAGAAATCAGCTCTTTTGCAGAATCTCAGATTCCCAATATTATTTTTCCATAACTACCTTTGGCAGACCCTCCGCTCTTCCAAACTAAAGTTTTACTATTAAAAAACAGACAGACAAATAAACAAGTATTAACCAGAAAATCACCTCCAGCAATCCCTTCATGCTTTAGGGTCCACACATTAGTGTCCTTTCTCCCTCCCACTCTCCTTTTTTTTTCCTTTGGTAGCAGTCCATTCTTCAAACACATCAAGTGGACTGAAGCGATTTGATTTTTATGCCCTACTGGTATTAGAAACAGGGCCTTAAGAAACAGTGCCGTGCCCAGCTTTGGGTGATCTTTGAATTGATGCTTCTTGTAAGTGCACTTTAACTGAGTTCTAGGGTGGCAATCCCCACTTCTAGTGCACTCATTTGGGGAAGTGTTACTTTACATACAAGCAGGGCTCACGATTTCCTTTTTAACAATTTCCAGTTACACTGGAAATGAACATAATATATTAACCGCCAACGTAATACAATTCCAGACTTCTAGAGCAAGGGTTTTTAAGCTTCTTTGGCATTATTTTGAACGTTAATTTTTTAAAACAAGGGTCTAAACAAATCTCAGTAACAAGTTGTCAGAGTCTAACTTCTATGATTAATGGTAATACATTCTATGAACAATAAATATTAGAATGTATTAACTTGGTTCTGAGCCCTAATTGAAATAGATATAAAATTAATAAAAACATAAAATTCCATATTCTATCTCTTCTTTCCTATTTGTTTTTAATTTTTTTTAAAACGTTTATTCATTTTCTGAGAGACAGAGCATGAGCAGGAAAGGGGCAGAGAGAAGGAGACACAGAATCTGAAGCAGGCTCCAGGCTCTGAGCTGTCAGCACAAAGTCCGATGCAGGGCTCGAACTCACCAACTGAGAGATCGTGACCTGAGCCAAAGTCAGACGCTTAACCGACTGAACCACCCAGGCACCCCTCTTCTTTCTTATTTTTATCCCTATAAAATTGGAACTCTTAGATCTTTGTCTACTTTTCCTCCTTTCCATGTCTTGATTCTTCTGTATTAACCTATAGGAAGCACACGGTCATCATTTGATGTATATTTGTCTTCCTTTTTCTTCTCTTTTTCTCTTCCCCTAGTGCCTTTCTCCTTTTCCTTGTCATTCCGTGTTTCTCCTTTAAAAAGAAAAACTGTATTGGCTCATATTTCTGGCTCCTTTCTTTGTTTTGGGGGAGAACCCTGTTTCTTCTGTTACGTATGCGTTGTTCAGGAGATTAACTGTCCAAGTATCAGGCTCCAAATTGCTGTTTCCTTGGTTCCAAGGCTTATAAATATTGTGAAATCATTCAGAAAGATTTTATTCTCCAATAAGCTCAGCAGGTTTTTCCAATAAGTGTACTCACAGACAGCCACATAAACAACTGGCTAAACATTCCAGCTGATCGACATAGGAGTAATAAATCAGGGAATTTCAGTTTGTCCAAACATTTCTAACAAAGTACTGAAGTAGCTGAGAAGTGTGCTAATGACTCACAGTCACAACAGAACGAGGTAATTAGAGAATGATGGTAAGTAAGAATGGGACCCACACACTGTTATAAGCTGAGGATAAGGCAGCATCCTTCCTGGATTCTTTACATAATTTCTGTTCCCATCCATTTATTGAGATCCCTAATCCTCATATATCAATTAGTTGTGACTTGGAGGCTGTAGCTAACATAATTCATCCTTAATTTCACATCGAATGTTTAGAGAAAGCTATTCAGTATCTAGTAAACACACGATTCTAATGTTGGTAAAATGAGTTTCTTTTCTTGAGTGGACCAATGGGGTCACTGACCTGCTGCTGTAATATCACATCTTTTCTAAGAGCAAATATACTTTTTTTTCACTGGTTACTGGATAATCTGACATCAGACATCATCTTAAATTATTAAGAAATCCTCAGTTAATTTCCCTATACCGTCTCCATAAGGGTTGCCAGCAAGGTGTTTGTGAATCAGAATTATTGTGTGGGTTGTTGAGGTCATAGTGCTTGGGTTCACATGGCAAGCACTGGGTTTATCTGTGTTTCTTTAGGTCTTTTTTATGTTCTTCAATAAAGTTTTATAATTTCATTCCAAGAAAAAAGAGAAAAGAAATCCTCAGTTAAATTTATTCTGAGCTAAAAACGCGCTCCGCAGTTTTTTGTACATACTATTACAATCTAATTTCATGGGGATACTGCCTTGAAATAAAATCCC